TAACACTGTTAAAATGGTAAATAAAATGAAAAATCTCAATGCCATTTGGTGAAAATTATAATGATACTAAGAAATGCTTTTAAAATGAATATTCCTTCAAATGTCAAATTTCAACTGGTATTTTGAAGTTATGCCATGTGGAAAGCATATTTATTTCCTAATAATGGAGACAAAAGGCAGGTATGCTGTATTTTCTACTGTATTGAATAGAGTAGAATATTGTATTTACTTTTAAACATAATTTCTGTTTCAGACTATATAGAATCATAGAATGGTTAGGGTTGGAAAGGACCTTAAGATCATCTAGTTCCAACCCCCCTGCCATGAGCAGGGATACCGCACGCTAAACTAAGTCACCCAAGGCTCTGTCCAGCCTGGCCTTGAACACCACCAGGATGTCTTCTGGTGGCTTAAATTTATTGTAACTCTGTGCACTTGATGAATTAAATGTTTTGTAAAGGTAAAGCCATGTTCTTAAAGTGTCTTGGTTTAGGTGTTATATGTTATATATGCTAAATTTTTATCCTTATCCTGAAGTGGATTAATTTTTGGTAAATGAGTATTGAACTGGGTTCTGTGTGACCAGTGCCAGTTAGGACTACAGCCAACAGCATATCTTGCATGCTGATAGAGGGTAATATGATGTCTTGCATAGTAACTGAATTTAGATACAAGTTCTGCACCTTGTTACTTGAGTATAGCTAATTTTGATTAAGTATGGGTCAAAAGTAGGCAACTGAATAGTTTCTTTCTTAGTGATATTTGGTTTAATGTGCATAGAAGGAAGAGTTTTTAAGCATCTTTATTGGTTTCTGTTTATTTTTGTTATTTTTATATGCAGTTCTTTTATGTGCATAAATGAGGCATGCACAAACTGTTAGAGCTCTGTATGGATAAAAGTCTTCTAGTTTAAATTTTGGTTATCTGAGATACTGATCTTAATCTTTAATTAGGTTGGTAGTGTAAGGAAAATATGACTAGCAGCTACCATTTGTACGTGAGGGAACTGAACTAAACAGATATTCAGGATCTACAGTGAGCATGGGCTTTGTGGTACAGAAGGTGGATAACCACATACCTGTGTCTTAAAGCTACATCTTCATTTTTATTTATTTATTTAAACCAGCTACAGTCATTTGGTAAACTGTGTGGCAAAGGGCTTGAACTTGCTGGATGCTAAGCCGTGTGTAAATCTTGAGTTCAGTGGGAGTTGAATCATAGGCTTGTGTCTTGTAGTCTACCTCTTTATCTTATTTGCGGTAGGTGAAAAGCATCAATGTAACTTTTGCCTCATAAACTTTCTGCCATGCTTGACAGATAATCAAAGGCAAAAATTAGGGTAAGCATTTAGTTTTGCCCTCAACTGCTACTTCTGTTCTGCACATTAATTTGTTACTTGTTAATATAGGATATGAATCCTGTTGATAAAGGCTAACCCTTAACCAGAGTTTAGCAAGGTTTCACATGATTAAAAACCAAAACAAGCAAAAAAATCCAGCACTTCCAGGTGATAAAACTTACAGCTTTATTATTCTTGGTTGCCAGTTCCAGTTTTGTTGTGCTTTCTCTTGGAATGCCATATACTTGCCAACATTTGGATTTGCAAATAGTTGCAGATTAGATGGGCTTCCAATTGGTCTATTTGAACATTTTTTTCCAGAAGTCCCTTATGTATAATGTTTCTTTC